AGGTTACTTTATTTATTTATTTATTTATTTTCTGTAACCACTGTGATCAATAGAGGTTATACAATTTAGATCACAGGGAAGGAAGGTAGGGGGACTTCTCTGAAGAATTATTTCAATGAGACCTAAGGACGGTGTATGTCCCACCATGTAGGAGATAGGCAGAGTGGCAAACATAATTTCAAGAGAAGTCAAGGCAGGTATGAAGGTCTTTAGGTGGAAGAAAGCTTGGAGTGTTTGTAGGATAAGAGTGGGGAGGAGATCATGGTTGAAGATAACATCAGAGAGGTGGTCAGAGGTCATACTGTGAAGAATCATGTAGGCCACATTAAGGACTTAAGGTTCAATTATGTTCATTATGAAGCCACTGGATGACTTTAGCAAGGGGAATGACATGATTCAATTCACAATGGATTGGAGGGTGTAAGAGTGGGAGGGGGGCAAAAAAGAGACTCTTACTGAGATCTAGATGAGAGAGGGTGGTGGCTAGAACTTGGGTAGAAGCAATGGACATAGAGAAGTAGAAAGGTTCAATAAATATTTTGGAGGTAAAAGCAACAAAACTTGGTGGTGGATTGGGATAGGGTGAGGATGGTGAGATTGGTGAATATGTCAAAAATGCCTGCTACATTTCAGACTTAAATAACAACCCAGAAAAAATGACATGTGAGCTGGGCCTTGAAGACTATGTTAAATTTTAGCTGATGAAGAAAGACACAGGTATAAAGGCCTGTTGCGTATTTGGAATATCACAAATCATACTTTGATGGACTAGTAGTATAGGGTACCCAGGAAGACAGTGGCTAGGCACAGATCCTGAAGGCCCTTGAACATGTGATAAGGGTTTTTGTTTTTATTTGTTTACTTAATCAGAGCATCATCATTTCAGATCTATTTTTATATTAGACTGTTGGGAATTCAGGATGGGAGATTAAGGAAGAGGGATTAGGGACAAATCGTCTAGAGGTGATGATCAAAACCATTGAACAAGGTGATATAGCTCACGGAAAGTAGAAAGTAAGAAGACAATCAAATCAGTGATTAACCTTTAGGGAGTCTTGGCACTTAAAGAACAGGCAGAAGGAGAAATGAGAAAGCAGCTCAAAAGGCACAGAATCCTCATGGACAGTATGAAATAAAAATGAAATCATAAGTAGTTACAGCTAATAATTATAGAGCATTTGCTGTGTGCAAAGCACTGCTCTAAGGACTTTATATTGTCTTAGTCCATTTTGTGTTGCTATAAAGAAATACTGGGTAATTTACAAAGCAAAGAGTTTTATTTAGCTCATGGTTATGCGTGCTGTACAAGAAGTATGGTGTCAGCATCTGCTCCGCTTCTGGTGAGGGCTTTTGTGCAGGCTCATGTGAAGAAGGACCAAACCTGATGGGTGTCCTGGCTTTATAACAACCCACTCACACAGGAACTAATTCATTTGGCCAATTACCAATCCAGTCTCACAAGAGGGAGAACTCACCCACTACCACAAGAAAAGCACCAACCTTCATGAAGGTTCATCTCTGTGATTCAAACACCATCACTAGGCTTCACCTCCCAACACTGCCACATTGGGGATCAAATTTCAACATGTGATTTTATGGGGACAAACAAACCATATCCAAACCACAACATATATATTAAATAATTTGTATTTTACCATAATCTTGTGAGGTAGGTACTATTATTAACCTCATTTTATGGATGTAGAGACTGAGGCAAAGACAAGTTCAATGCTTGTCTGTGCCCACTAAAAATAATAAGATACAGAGCTAGGATTCAGAAGGGTTTATAATTTTAATCATTATGCTTATTGCCTCTAAAAATTCTGATCTTAATTATTTCTGTCCTTCCTAGACTGTATGAAAAAATCAGCTTAGTCATAGTTACACAAAACTTCAGGTGACTTCTGATGAATTTAATCAGACCTCTGGATTAAGTGTTAATCATAGCAACATTTTACAAATTAACTGCTTTACTGTGTAGTAGTTAATAATCTCACACTCTTCAAAACAGAATCTTTTAAATAAACAACATATTTATAAATATGTAAGGATTACTTAAAGCAGAGACCATTAAACCACTGTGAACCACTGGTTCTCTACATTAATGTATAACATCAAGATAGAGTCCAACAAATAATCTGAGCCCTGAAGACTAATTTTTTTAAAAAAAAACAACCATAATCATTATAAAAGAATTTCAAAATACAAACAAAATAAAATGTATTAAAATTGTCCAATTACTAAAAGTAGAAAAAATAAGCACATAAAGATGAACCAATATTAAAGTTTTCTTTTATAATTGCTTTCTTAATGGTTAAAGTTTAATAAAAGTAGAAGTAAATGATAACAACCTTAAAATAAAACTGGTATTAAACTGGACTCTATTTTAATCCCCCTTCCTCAGCCCCAGGTGATATTTGGCAATGTTTGGAGACATTTTTGTTGTCACAACTAGGAAGTGGGTGGGGTGCTACTGGCATCTAGTGGGTAGAAACCAGGATGCTACTAAACATCTTGCAATGCAGAGGACAGCCCCCTCACCACAAAGAATAATCTGACCTAAAATGTCAACAATGCCAAGTTTGAGAAATTCTGGTATAAAACTAACATCCACTCTAGTAAAGATCAAACCTGAAATTTCAAGAAAAATGCAACTATTATAGAATTTAGTATGCATTTGAACACAGAGATGAAAAAGACTACTCTCCAAAATTTAAGGATAAAATCAACTTAATTTTGGCCTTTATGATGAAGTTGAATAAATACCATATAATTTCTTGCCATGATTAGCTTTATGTTATTGCACTAATCGTAAGACTGATATAGTCCTCTTTCCTAAAATCTTTACACCCAGTACTTTGATTTTGTTCTTTACACATGGGAAAACTCTTATGAAACACAGTAATAGGAGAATTAAGTACATGTATCAATGAATTAAAAGTGGAAATCGATAAATACTGACATATCATTTAATAACTGTTAATATGCAATGAATGGACTACGCACATGGACTGATGTTTCTTTCTATCCAAACTTATTCTATCACCATTTGTGAAGCAAAAAGCACTAATAGACTTTGTGTGTTTAATTTTAACCCAGGGCAAATTTTTATAACTGAATGATAAACCCTCAAAACTGGAGTTGGTATGGGAAGCCCTTACGCTATTAACTATAATGATACCAGTGGGCATCACCATTGTTAAAAGTGTAAAAAAAAATCAATGAGCAGATTGTCATTACAGAAACTCATTTTGCATCACACATATCACCCAAGAGATTGATATTTTATTCTTGTAAAACTTAACATAAAAATAAATTGCAAATATTTTCTCACAATCTACTAAAATTATGGCCTAAAGCAATACATTGCTAATATGAAGCATTTGTTCAGCTCTAGTGGACATATTTCCTATGTGATTTATGTGAAAGAAGGCTTCATTTACTTTGTCAAAGATTCAGTAATTGGGTTCCTTTTCTTATATGAAGCCTAGAAAGTATAGAAACTTCTTTAAAATTAAGCCAGCAAATATAACACTGAATTATTAATAAATTAATAGTCAAATTTAAAACCTTGAGGTCACCACTCCTTGTGTTTATGACTATTATAATTTCAAACATCAGCCATTATTTCATTTTCCAAATGTATAAAAAGCATCTAAATATTCCATATAGAAATTACATTTTCATTTTTCAGGAGTAAAATCAGCATAACAAATTTCAAGTAAAAAAGATTGTGATTTATTTTCCCCTGGAATCTAAAAGATTAAAAATAATCTCAATTATTTACCACCCCCAAAATTAAATTTAGGAATAACAGAAAGGAAAGTCGTCTTGTCTACTGGGATGTGAATAACACTGAGGCCATGAGGTATAAGAAAAGGGACCTAATCAAATTAAAAAGCTTCTGCACAGCCAAGGAAACTATCACAAGAGCAATCAGACAACCTACAGAATGAGAGAAAATATTCATATGCTACACATTCTATAAAGGGCTGATACCTAGCATCTACATAGAACATAGGAAAATCAGCAAGAAAAAATCAACCCTACCAAAAAGTGGGCAAAGGATATGAACAGGAACTTTTCAAAAGAAGATAGACTAATGGCCAACAAACATATGAAAAAGTGCTCAACATCTCTAATCATCAGGGGAATGCAAGTCAAACCACAATGAGATATCACTTATCTTCACTGAGAATGGCCTTTATCAAAAAGTCCCAAAACAATGTTGACATGGATGAGGAGAGATAGGAACACTCATACACTGTTGGTGGGACTGCAAACTAGTACCTCTGTGGAAAGTAATATGAAGATACCCCAAAGAGCTACAAGAACTACCATTTGACCCAGCAATCCCCTTACTGGGCATCTACCCAAAGGAACACATTCTATAAAAAGGAAGACATTCTATAAAAAAGACATCTGCACCAGAATGTGTATAGCAGCACAATTCACAATTGCAAAGATGTGGAAACAACCCAAGTGCCCATAGTACGTGTGTGGATTAATAAAATGTGGTATATATGTACCATGGAGTTCTATTCAGCCACCAAAAACAATGGTGATCTAGCACCTCTTGTATTATCCTGGATAGAGCTGGAGCCCATTCTAAGTATCCCAAGAATGGAAAAAGAAGTACCATATGTACTCACCATTAAATTGCTATTAACTGACTTAACTGACCAACATTTAAATGCATAATAGTAGTTAACATTCATCAGGTGTCGGGCAGGTGGGAGGGGGGAGGAGGGGATGGGTAAATCCACACCTAATGGATGCAGTGCATGCTGTCTGGGGTATGGGCATGCTTGCAGCTTGTCTGAGGGATGGGCATGCTTGTTAGGTGATGCAAAGGCAATTTATGTAACCAGTGTTTGTACCCCTGTAACACTCTGAAATAAAATAAAAAAATCTATGCACTCAGCTTTACCCTAAAATCTATTTAACTTGAAAAATTACCAGATTTTATACCAAAGTATAATATAATAGGCAGCTCTTACCTTAAGCATTCTGCATCATTTTGAGGCTTTTTATTGATTTTTATTTTTTCTGCCTCTAGGTATTTGGTAGTACAAATGGATTCCTTTTCTTCATCTTCAAAAGCTAAACAGTTAAAAAATTCTTACAATCTTTTAAAAATCAAACATAAATGTTTTCTTATTCACTCATAAGAACAATACTCAAATTTTTGGTGCCTGCATGTAAAATGTACATAATAATGATTTTTATTTTCTACTTTAACATAGCAACTAAAGGAACACAAAAGATCTTAACAAAATTTGTGACATTAAAAATACAAGCTTTAACACTGATATATGTTTTATCTATTTCTTATACCAATAATAGCATTATATTCCAACAGGTTAATACATTTTAAAATAATGATATGACCCTATTATCTGTATATAACTATATTTATTGGCAAAATAAACTAACTCATGAAGGTAATACCTTTAAGTTTTCTCTGGAGAGTAAATAATTCTTGTAGCAATTCACTCTTTTGTTTTTGGAGTTCATTTAATGGGTCACTGTCACGTTCCATTGACTTCATTTCTAGAAACAAATAGCATAAAAAATAAAATAATTATTAATAGGAATAAATTTAATCAAGGATGTAAAAGATATGTACACTGAAAACTACAAAACACTGATGAAAGATTTGAAGACAACACAAATAAATGGAAAGATATCCATGTTATGGATTGAAGAATCAATATTGTTAAAATGTCCATACTACCCAAAACAATATACAGATTCAACACAATCCCCATCAAAATTCCAATGGTATTCATAACCGAAATAGAAAAAAAACCACACCTAAAAAATCTAGAAAAAAATAAACAAACAAAAAACTATATTTTAAGTATTTAGAGTCTGCCTTAAATATGTCAGCAATTATTAACTTTTCCTTATGTAGTAAAAATTTAAGCAGCTTATGGTCAATTTTAAGCCCCAACTGGCTTCCCTTGGCCACCTAAGAATTATTTTTAAAAAATTGACCAGCACTTATTAATTACCACTGATTAATAAGATGGAAAAAGATAAGTTAGTTGATGGTTAGGCAACCAAAAGAAAATTCAAAATATGTAATATCACTAAGTAAAATAAACTTCCTTGTGAGATAATAATAAAACTCTCTCCTTTGTAACAAAAGCGTATTTAAAATAACATTGCATAGTACTAACTATATGGCTACAGGCTTTCACAATATTGCTAATACTGCTCTTCAACTAAAATATCCTTCCTCCCTTTATTCCCACAACGAATTCCTATTCATCCCTTAAGACTCATCTTCTAAATTTTCAAATATTTTTTCTCTTCTGCCCTACCTTCTGGAACCCCAATTACACATTTATTAAACTGCTTGATGCTATTCCACATGTCCCTGAGGAGCTCTTTGGTTTTCTGAAGTCTTTTATTTCCCTCTGTGTTTCAGTTTTTAAAGCTATCTCTTCAAGTTCACTGACCTTTTTTCCTGTAGTCTCTGATCTGCTGTTAATCCCTTCCAGGGAATTGTTCATATCAGATATTGTATTTTCTAGTCTCTAGAGTTCCTTTGGTTCTTTTTACAAAACAATTTTAATTGAAATATAATTCACATACTATATAATTCACCCTTTTAAAGGATAAAATTCAGTGGGCTTTAGTATAGTCACAGATGTGTGCATCCATTACCACTATATAATTTTGGAACATCTTATCACCCCAAAACAAAACTCCATACCCATTAGTAGTCACTCCCAATTTCCTCCAGTTCCCCCAGACCTAGACAAACACAAATCTACCTTCTGAATATATGGATTTGCCTATTCTGGACATTTCACAAAAACTGAATTGAATAATATGTGGTCTTTTGTCTGACTTTTTTCACTTAGCATAATAATTGCAAGGACTACCCTTGTTGTAGCATGTATTGGTATTTCATTCTTTTTATTTCTAAATAAAATGCCATTGTATAGATATGTTATATTTCATTTTTGTATACATCAGTTGATAGACATTTCAGTTGTTTCCACTTTTTGGCTACTAGGAATAATGCTGCTATAAATATTCATGCAAGTCATGCGTCATTTAACAATAGGGATACATTCTGAGAAACGTGTCCTCAGGTGATTTTGTCATTGTGTGAACATCAAAGAGTATACTTACACAAACCTAAATGGTATAGCTTACCACACCACCAATAGCCTATTGCTCCTAGGCTACAAACTTGTATGGCATGTTACTATGCTGAATACTGTAGACAATTTGAACACAATGGTAAATATTTGTATTTCTACACATATCTAGACATAGAAAAGGTACAGAAAAATACAGTATAAAAGATAAAAAATGGTACAGCTATATAGGGTACTTAACCATGAATGGAGCTGGTAAGACAGGATGTTGCTCTGCGTGAGTCAGTGAGTGGTGAGTGAATATGAAGGCCTAGAACATTACTGTCCATTACTATAGACTTTATATAAAACATTGTACACTTAGACTACACTAAATTTATAAGAAATATTTTTCTTTCTTCAATATAAATAAACTTTAGCTTACCATAAGTTTTTTAATTATAAGCTTTTAATTTTTTTAACTTTTTAACTTTTTTTAATAATACCCAGCTTAAAACACAAAACATGTTGTACACCTATACAAAAATATTTTTTCTTTATATCCTTAGTCTATAAGCATTTCTATATTTTTAAAATTATTCATTTATTTTTTTACTTTTTAATATTTTTTGTTCAAAATTAAGACACAAAGACACACATTAGCCTAGGCTTCATAACCTTGCCAACACTATTATTATCCACCTTTATTACAGCCACATTAGTGGTATCTCATTGTGATCTTGATTTACATTTCCCTGATGACTAAAGATCCTGAGTGTCTTTTTATGTGGCTATTTATCTTTTTTGGGAAAATGTTTAGTTCTTACATGTAGGTCTTTGATTTGTTTTAGTAATTTTTGTGTGTGGTATGAGGTAGATGTTCATATTCATTCTTTTGCATGTGGATATCCAGTTATCTTTGCATCATTATTTAAAAGGACCCTTCTTTTCCCATTGAATTTTCTTGGCATCCTTGTGACCATAGATGTATGTGTTCTGGACTCTTAATTATATTCCATTGATCTATATGCTTATCCTTATGCCAGTATCATACTATCTAGACTACTATAGTTTTGTAGTAGGTTTGAAATTAAAGTGTTAGTCCTTCAATGCTTCTTTTTTCAAGATTGTTTTGGCTATTGTGGGTCCTTTGCATTTCAAAATGAATTTTAGCGTCAGTATGTCTATTTTTTAAAAATCCAGCTGGGATTTTGATGGGAACTGCATTGAATCTATAGATCACTTTTGAGAGTATTGCCATTTTAACTATATTAAGTTTTCCGAATCATAAGCACAGATGTCTTCCCATTTACTTAGTTCCTTAATTTCCTTCAACAATGTTTTTTGTAGTTTTTGGTATTTTTGCAGTTTTGCACTTTTGTTGTATGCATTCCTAAGTATTTTATCAAATTGAAGTCCTTTTATCCCTAGTTTATTGAATGTTTTTCTCATGAAAGGGTGTTGGATCTTGTCAAATTCTTTTTCTGTGTCTTTGATTATTTTTTATGTCTTCCATTTAGCTCCTCATTATGTCCATGTTCTTGAATATATTTATTATAAGAATTAAAAAATTCTTTTTCTTCTATTTGTATCATCTCTATTATTTCTGGGGTTTCTACTGAGCCAATTTCCTCCTTTCTGTGAGTTATAATTTGCTGCTTCTTTACATTTCTAGTGATTTTTGATTGGCTACAAGATATTGTTATTACTATTTTGTTGAATGAATTTGCTATTTTCCCCTAAAGCATGTTGATGTTTGTTTTAGCAGGCAGTTAAGTTACTTATGGATTAGGTTCAAGTCTTGTTTATAAAATTTTCTTTAGGGTGCATCTAGAAGAGCATTTACTCTAAAGCTAATTTAATCTTACTATTAAGGTAGGACTCTTCTACTTAATGAAATATTTCTGTTATGATGCGATGGAACATGAATGTCTCCCAGTCCCACAGGAGCTCTTAAAATTGTTCATTTGTTGGTCTCCAGTAGTTTTTCTTTGCTCAGCCCAGTGGAGTTTCTCCTTAGTATGTACAGGTTAATATACATCCAAAGGCTCAAGAGGACCTTTATACAAATTCCTAGAGCTTTTTCTATATGTAGATCTGTCCTCTCAAGTACATTATCCTGAATATTCTAGTTGACTTGGTCTCCCTGGACTCTAATCATTGTGTCCTCAACTTAGTCAGACTACTTTGCATTGCTTAAGTTCCTACTCCCAGTGCTACTGTCCAAAAACTGCATCCAGGTAGTAAAGCTGCAGCAATCAGGGCTGACCTCATTTGTTTCCCTTCTCTCAGGGATCACAGTTCTGCACTAATTCTTGCCCTCAATATCCAAAAGTAATTTTTCATATTGTTTTCTCCAGTCTTCTAGTTGTTTGTGATAGGGGGTGAATTTCATAAAATTACTACTCATGATCATAAGAGGAAGTTTTCCACATAATATTTAAATTATCCTTTTACTACATGTTCCTCTTCCACGTTAGACTATAAGCTCATTGAAAACAGGAACTATGCCTCATTCATCATTAAATTCCAATTCTTGTAGTGCCTGGCATAATATATACAGAGCACATTGTAATTACTCAAGAAAATGTGTTGACCTGAGTAAAAATAATTTATATAATTGGCTTTAAGTATTTTTTGTTATTCACAATGTCTTTGTCCACTACTGTAGGTAGTTAAAAGTGGACAATTCTAAAAAGAAAATTAATAGGCTCACATTTGTGCTTCTGCTCCTTAAATAAATGAAATTTTAAAATATAAATATAACTACATGCCAATAATTAAGAGAGATATTCCAGGATACCATAACATAATCTTTAAGAGATTAAAATACATACAATATTTTATTCATTATTAATTAATTTATCAGACATTCTATGATAAAATATCATTATAAAATTTAGGCATGAATAATGGAGAAGTTTTGGATTTTAATATTTCTGAAGTATATTATTTTTCTTAGTCCTGATCCTTTAGGATAAGTGGGAAAGACATACTGAAGATTCATTCTTTGAAGAAAAAATAAAACAATGTGTCAATTCCCTATTAAGCTTATATAATAGAATCAATATTTCATGGTAATAACTTTCCCCCACTTTACTATTGTCTTTTTATTTTATTATTATTTTTATTTACTGCTTTATTGAGGTATAATTGATGTGGTGATCACTTTAATTTCTTCAACTGCCTAAAACCTACCATGTTCTACTTCTTCACAAATATATAATGAATACTAATTATTATATACTTTTAATTGCTTAGGTCAAAGTCAACCTTAACACCTCTCTCTCTTATACCCCATATCTAGTCCATCATGAAATTGTTTGCCTAACTTCCAACCCTACCCCTCATCTATCCTTCATTTCTTCCTTTCTCCTTTTTCCTTTCTTTTTTCATTCTTTCCTTGCTTCCTTCCTTCCATTTTCTTTTCTTCCTTCCTTTCCTTCCTCCCTTCCC